CCCGCGGCCCAGGCCCGCACGACGGGGACGCTGCGCCGGGCTCCCTGTTACCTGCCGGAGGGCGGCGGGGCGGCGGCCGAGGGTCCTGGCTCCGAGCCCCTCGTCGCCCCTTGTTGACACCAACCACCCTCGCCTCCCCCGTGAGGCTCGGACCGCTACACCCACAATCTTCGGGGGTCGGGTCCCTCCGGCACCATAGAGGCGGGTCCGGAAACCGGACAGAATCCCAGCCTGTGGCCCCGAGGCGAACGAACCCGGAACCGAGCTAGAGCGGCCGCACAGGTGACTCTCAGGCCGGGGCCATCTTGAGTGTGGGCGCCGGTGCCCACCTCGCGGGTCACTCACTGCCGCCAGCAGCCTGTTGGGCTGTGAAGATGCCCCTTCTCTTAGCTGTTGAGCTGAGCGCGCTACTTTGTCTCGATTTTAATGTTCAGGCTTTTAGCCCCCCGTTTTCGTTTGAGTTCCGCCCGAATCTAAAATGGCCCCCGGTCGCTTCTGACACATAGCAAAGGGGCGGGGCGGAGGAGGGAGTCCGGCAATCGGCGACGACTTTCGGGAGACGTCGCTCATCCCGCAGCCCTGATTGGCTGCGCCGCGTGGGCCGAAGCCGTGCGGAACGGCGGCCGAAGCTGGCTGAGGTCGCGGTGATTCCAGCTGAAGCCATTAAGGCCGAAGGTCTGGAGTTACCTTTAATTCAGCGACGAGTCAAGTTGGAACTACTAATAATAGGAACTATAATTAATGTTTCTACTTAATAGAATGTTGTGAAAATAAAGATACGTAATAGTTTTAAAACTACATGATTCAAAGTAAACTGTATTTCCGTGTTACCATCTGCATGGGCGCAGTAGTGATGAATACTTCTACAACCTCACAGTTGACAGGTGACCTAAATCACTCGATCACCTAAAACTTTTAGGCTCTTTCTGGTCGATAACAGTAGATGAAACTTGAAGATGAGTAAGGAGCCCACAATTTCTTCACCAGGTTAAATGCAAGCAACTAGCCAACCAAATTTTGCCCCTTATTCAGAAATGTAATAATCAAATATTTTTTAGGAGGCAGGCACAAATAGTTTCAATCCGTCCTATAAGCCTGATGAAGGCCGAACTCTGTACTAAGTCAGGACTGTTCTATAGAAATAGAATTCGGGCCAAATGTCATTTTAAATGTTCTCGTAGCCACATTAAAAACAGTAAAGAGAAGTTAATTTTAATATTCTGCTTTAACACAGTATATCCAGAAGATGGCCATTTAAACATGCACTCAGTCAGCAGTTCTCAACCTGTGGGTCGCAACCCCTTTGGGGGTCAAACGACCCTTTCACAGGGGTCGCCTAAGACCACCGGAAAACAAAAAGATATTTACATTACGATTCATAACAGTAGCAAAATTACAGTTATAGAGTAGCAACGAAAATAATTTTATGGTTGGGGGTTACCACAATATGAGGAACTGTATTAAGGGGTAGCGGCATTAGGAAGATTGAGAACTGCTGCACTCGGTATAATAAATTGAGATATTTTACATTTTGTACTGTCTTCAGAAATCTGATATATATTTTTTGCAATTTGGACCAGCCATATTTTCATGCTCCGTGGTCACATGTGGACAGTGACTACCATATTGGAGAGTGCAGTTCCAGCAGCTCCAGCCACCATCTTGTGTTAGAAAGCTGAGAAGCAGAAGTACAAGTGCTAGAGGCAGGATTATTATCCTCATCCTCAGTATCGGCATCCGGCCACCAGAAATCTCCCAGACCAGTGGTAGGGCCAGGCCCATTCGGGATGAAGCCTCCGATGGCATCTCCAAAGGCTGAGAGGGCTCCCTGAATGTTTAGACTCCATTTATTCAGGAGTAGAGAGCATTTTCTAAAATATTTTAGCCAATTCACCTCCCTTGAATTTTTTTGAGACCTCATTGCTAGTATTTGTCATTATAATAAGCTGTTATCTTTGCCAATAAGAACTCATTCCTGACACGCACTATGATAAGTAGGAAAACATCTGGTATCATCAGAGATCAAGGTGCTTCAAGTATTTGTGGCTCCATCTCTGGAATGTAGCCTCTCTGGTATGATACTTATTAGCTACCGCTGGGGTGTGGATTCCTGATTTCTGGTATGCGAGCTGCTTCTAGGGCGTACCGTCAATGAATTAGCCCACACAGACTATCACACTGTCTATGCTGAAGAAGTGTAAAGTCAACCACAGATACCACAACATCCATGTTGTAAGAAATACTGTCCTGCTTTGTAAACTGTAACTATAGAAATATTCTAGAATTTACAATCTCATGTTACAGACTATGTTTATTCCACAAGTATTTAACACCTATCTTTTCTGTGCCATGCACTGTGCTGACCACTAAAAAAAGGAAGAAGATATCATCATTGCAGAAAAGTGTGTTTTTTGAGGGGCCCAAATAATTCATTTTTTTTATTAAATGATTGAGGATGTGCTATTGCTTAGTACTAGTAGCTTAGTGTTTAATTTTTTAAAAGTTATGCCCCACCACCAACATATACGTTTCAAGTTACCGTGTGTGTAGCAGGATCCAAGCTAAATGATCCTACATTTCCCCGATTCCTCAAAGGTTTTCCTGACATTCGTTCTTTGCTCATTCAGTAAATATAAGAACTAACTGTTACCAGCCTCCGCTCTAGAAACTAGGGAAACAGCAAACAAGACAAATTGCCTGCTCTCACAGAGCTCCCATCTTAAGAAGGTATGGTTAGGGGGACAGACAGACAAGAAGCACATAACTGAACAAAGGAAAGTTCAAGTAATAGAAAATCCTATGGAAAAACAAAACAAGATAATGTAATAATAATAGCAGCTAACCCGTGTCGAGGACTATGTGTTAGCACTTCATAAGATGATCTTCCTAAATCGCTTTGTAATGAGGGAAGTTAAGCTATAGAATGTTTGCTTTATCGTTCTATTAATGTCACTTATGTGTATTTACAATTTGTACATATGACAAGTAATAATGCGAGATATTTAGTAGTAAGGTTACTGGATGGGAAGCATGAAAACAGCTTATGTCACTGACCAAATAGATAAGCTTGGGTAAATCATTTAACCTCTCCTGGCCAGTTTTTTCAACCGAAAAAGAAAGAATATGACAGGGTTACTTCTTGGGTCCTTCCCAGCTTTAATATTCTATGGTTCAAATAGAAACTAAGACAAGTGTATATTTCCAGGATGATCAATTAGGTTGTAAGTTCAAAGACACAAAACATAGTTTAGATTCACATATTCCCCAAGGAACATCATATATTCCCTTATACATAGGAGGTAGTTTAAAAAACATCTGTTGAGTATATTTAAAAATTTTATGTGATTGGTTTTGCAAATAAGTAGATGGATTGAATTATTTCAAAGCCCCTTTCTGGCTCTACTATTCTATGATTAAAATCCAAATTGAGCCAGTCATGTAATAGATCAATAAGATTTTCAACTCAAGGACGGAAGTCTTGTCTTTGAGCTACGTATTCCCTTAAAAGCCTCATGGCATTCCTTCTATAGCAAGTGCCCAAGGAAATATCTCTAAATTATAGTTACTTTATTTGCTTTAAGTAAAATTTCAATATTATAACACTGAGTTATTTTCAAAACTCATTATTAATTATAATGCCTTTCCATTTCTTACTACCTAAATCTATCTTATAAAAACATGCACAAAAGGGAAATGAGTTATCTTAGTGAGGAAAAATTCTGTGCCTTAGTTCCATACTTTAGATCTCATAAATCATAACATTTAAATGCCCAATACTAGTGTAGTTTTATGTATACTAATCGATGTTCCTGGTTTTCTATATTAAAATCAGAAATACGTGAATTCAAGTGGCTGAAGAGACTCTACTCATATGTACCGTAACTTATGGCACATGTTCCATTGTTAATTGAAGACTCGGAGTTAATAACTTTGGGAAGCAACCTTTCAGGCACATGGCATGGAATAAAAAGGTGACGTCTTTTTATACATTTTAAAGGTATCACATATTACAAGGGGGAAAAAGGACAAGGAAAAAATTTATATGCACCCAAATAAGCACGTAACTCCTAATGAAACACATTAAATAGAAACACATGACTTTTCGCTAATTCGTTTGTACTTTATGCTTCTTTTTAATAGAAATTAAATTAGTCACTGAATGTACATAATGTAGTGTTTGTTTTCCAGTCTAGTTGCTTTATAGCAGTCACTTTTGAGTCTCGTGGGGAATATTACTGAGGGTCAAGATGGGGTTTGAGGCATGAACAGTGTCAAGCACCCACGTGCCGAACAAGGACAGAAGGGGTGGAGTTAATCTGCAGCTAACAACATGAAAAACAAACAAAAAAGGAAACACAGACCCACAATAGTGTCAACATGCATTATTAACCCAAGATTCAAAGTTAACCCAACCACACAGATTTCTTCTAGGCTGAGAGTACAGATGGGAAGGGATGGCTTCATCGCGATCCGTAGCCATAGTAGAAAGTCTCATCAGGGCGGAACCCATAAGCTGTGGCAGGGCGTCCGAGAATGCCAACTGACTGGCCAAAGCCGTCCATTCCGAGGCTAAAAAGAGACACAGAAATAGTTAAGTTACATTCTTCATCACACATCTACAATGTAGGTCAAGTTAATGGCCTGGAATTTTACAGGTCATTCCTGTAAAATTCTTCCTAGCAGCAAAAGTGACTCATGTGGGTGGCTATCATTAATGCTTTTTCTTTTGAAAATTAATACAGTATAATAAATATTTACTTCTAACAATGTGTGTTAGAAATGTTGGAAACCTCTGTCATCAGGTACCATATTCAAGACAAAGAGGACAGATCAGAAAAGTTTTAAATAAATTACATTCATATATGGCTTTTATGCCAGAATGTGAAAAAATTTTACATGCTAGCAATTATCAGAAACATGTTGCTAGGGAGTGATACAATTAAAACTGTAGAAAAGTGAGTTTTGCTGTTTATAATAAGATCTCTTTTGTATTAAGATATAGGATTAGTCCACTATTAGTAAGGACATGCATCTTAATTTTTAGCAGTAAACTTTCATGCAGGGCCAAGTCATACTATAAGCACATGACTAAAGAAGAAGAAAGGAAATTTTACAAAATTTCAAAGTTAGCCAGATTTGATCTGCCAATCCTTCTTCTGACTCCTCAATGCAAAAAGAAATTACTAAATAGTATATGTTTCTTTTGAGTGACAGCAAGATAATTATACACTTTGGTTCAGTTTATTTTATGGAAATAACAGAAGCCCAAAGATAACCTTCAGTTAGTTATAGAGGTATCTTGATGATGGATGAACGCTGATTACTGCTTTAAAAAAATCATTCTTTCATCTCTTAGTCAATTATTTAGAAGAGAATCTGTTCTCCAAAGCGCTTTGGAAGAATCAGAGAATTACCCAACACTTAGCAAAATGACAAGCTGTTTACTTGGCCAGGCAAACATGGCAGCTGTAACGTGCTCATGCATACATAGCTCATGCAGGGGGCGCTGGTGAGCGCATTTCCCGTCAAAGGAAATGGTGTATGACGTAAGCTCTGAAAAAATAAATACATTGAAATGATTTAAGATTATTTGAGATCATATTAGATGGAAGGATACTTTTTGCTTTATCAGCAAAATCTCAATATGATTAAAAACATGTTCATACTGGCACTAACTTCCTGTCACAACTCCAAATGAGATTAAAACACTTTAGAAATAACTACTAAAACGGTAAGGTTTTAAATAATTTGTGTGTGTGTGTGTGTGTGTGTGTGTGTGTGTGTGTG